GTATGGACCAGTATGGACCAGTATGGACCAGTATGGACCACTACGGACCGGTATGGACCAGTATAAACCAGTATGGACCAGTATGGACCGGTATGGACCAGTATGGACCAGTATGGACCAGTATGGACCAGTATGGACCAATATAAACCAGTATGGACCAATATAAACCAGTATGGACCACTATGGACCACTATGGACCGGTATGGACCTGTATAAACCAGTATGGACCGGTATAAACCAGTATGGACCGGTATAAACCGGTATGGACCAGTATAAACCAGTATGGACCAGTATGGACCAGTATGGACCAGTATGGACCAGTATAAACCGGTATAGACCAGTATAAACCAGTATGGACCAGTATAAACCGGTATAAACCAGTATAAACCAGTATGGACCAGTATGGACCAGTATAAACCAGTAACCCCAAATCCCCATTTTCCTTCTTTTTAACCCTTTTTTGGCCATTTTTAACCCATTTTTTGACCATTTTTAACCCTTTTCTCCCCGGATTTTTAACCCTTTAACCCCTCCCAGTCCCTCCCAGTCCAAACCAGTCCAAACCAGTCCAAACCAGTATAAACCAGTGACCCCAAACCCCCATTTTTCCCCCATTTTCCCCCTTTTTAACCCTTTCTTCCCCGTTTTTAACCCTTTCTCTGCCATTTTTAACCCTTTTCTCCCCGGATTTTTACCCCTTTACCCCCTCCACGTCCCTCCCAGTCCAAACCAGTCCAAACCAGTCCAAACCAGTCCAAACCAGTCCAAACCAGTCCAAACCAGTCCAAACCAGTCCAAACCAGTCCGACTCACCCCAGCGCCGCGGGTTTGGGGCAGGCGATTCCGGCCCCTTCCATGCGCAGGGTGGCTCCGCTCAGAGCTTTGGGCAGAGGGTTCTGGAAAACCACCTGGATCGGCACCTCCTGCCCCACCACGGCCTCGCCCAGGAGCTGCCGGGAGAGACCGAACCCATCCCCAAAAATTATCCCGGGAATGGCCCCAAAATTCCGGGATTTGACACCAAAAAAAAAGAAAAATGAAAAAAAATCCTCATTTTTTTTTAAACGGAAAAAATCCCGGTTTTTTTTTACCTCAGAATCGGAATTTTTTAATCAAAAAAAAATCCCGGTTTTACCTCAAAAATTATTCGGGTTTTTTTCCCAAAAAATCACGGGTTTTTTCCTAAAAAGTTCGAATTTTTTCGCCCAAAATCCTCATTTTTAACCCCAAAAAAAATCCTGATTTTTACCGCAAAATTTTATCCCGTTTAAACCAATGGGGATTCAAAGACACCAGGTCTACCCATTGAAGTGAATGGGAACTGAGGGACACCAGGTCTACCCATTGAAGTCAATGGGGATTCAAGGATACCAGGTCTACCCATTGAAAACAATGGGAACTCAAGGACACCAGGTCTACCCATTGAAGTAAATGGGAATTCAGACACCAGGTCTGCCCATTGAAGTCAATGGGAATAGAAGGACAACAAGTCTACCCATTGAAGTCAATGAGAATGCAAGGATACCAGGTCTACCCATTGAAGTAAATGGGAATTCAGACACCAGGTCTGCCCATTGAAGTCAATGGGGATAGAAGGACAACAAGTCTACCCATTGAAGTCAATGAGAATGCAAGGATACCAGGTCTACCCATTGAAACCAATGGGAACTCAAGGACACCAGGTCTACCCATTCTATGAATGGGAATTGAGGGACACCAGGTCTACCCATTGAAGTCAATGGGGCTTTAGGGACAACAAGTCTACCCACTGAAGTCAATGGGAATGGAGGGACAACTAGTCTACCCCCGGTTTTTCCCGTTTTCCCATTTTTTCCCGTTTTTCCCATTTTTTCCCATTTTTTCCCGGTTTTTCCTGGTTTTCCCAGGTTGTTCCCGGTTGTTCCCGGTAACCCCCAGTACCCCCGGTACCCCCCAGTACCCCCCGGTTACCATCAGGCTGAGCTCCGGTGTGCGCAGCCGCACCAGCAGCTCCTTGGCCAGCACTTGCCCCGTTTCCCCCCAGTTTCCCCCTGGTTTCCCCCCGGTTTCCCCCCGGTTTTTCCTGGTTTCTCCCGGTTTATTTTTCCCGGTTTTTCCTGGTTACCGTCATGATGAGCTCCAGTGTGCCAGGACACCAGGTCTACCCATTGAAGTCAATGGGAATTTAAGGACACCAGGTCTACCCATTGAAGTCAATGGGGTTTTAGGGACACCAGGTCTACCCATTGAAGTGAACGGGAATTTAAGGACACCAGGTTTACCCATTGAAGTCAATGGGAATTGAGGGACACCAGGTCTCCCCATAGAAGACAATGGGATAAATGAGACATCAGGTCTACCCATTGAAACCAATGGGAGTTGAGAAACAACAGGTCTACCCCATTAACACTAATGGGAATTTAGGGACAACAAGTCTACCCATTGAAGTGAATTGGAATTTAAGGACATCAGGTCTACCCATTGAAGTGAATGGGAATTTTAGGACACCAGGTCTACCCATTGAACCAATGGGAATTTTAGCATACCAGGTCTACCCATTGAAATCAATGGGAACTCAAGGACACCAGGTCTACCCATTGAGATCAATGGGAATTTTAGGACACCAGGTCTACCCATTGAAAACAATGGGAATTTTAGGACACCAGGTTTACCCATTGAAACCAATGGGAACTGAAGGACACCAGGTCTACCCATTGAAGTCAATAGGAATTGAAGGACACCAGGTCTACCCATTGAAAACAATGGGAATTTTAGGACACCAGGTTTACCCACTGAAACCAATGGGAACTGAAGGACACCAGGTCTACCCATTGAAGTCAATAGGAATTGAAGGACACCAGGTCTACCCATTGAAGTGAATGGGAACTGAGGGACACCAGGTCTACCCATTGAAGTCAATAGGGTTTTAGGGACACCAGGTCTACCCATTGAAGTGAATGGGAACTGAAGGACACCAGGTCTACCCATTGAAATCAATGGGGTTTTAGGGACACCAGGTCTACCCATTGAAGTCAATGGGAATGGAGGGACAACAAGTCTACCCCCGGTTTTTCCCATTTTTCCCCGGTTGTTCCCAGTTGTTCCCGGTTGTTCCCGGTTGTTCCCGGTTGTTCCCAGTTGTTCCCAGTTGTTCCCGGTTGCTCCCGGTTGTTCCCCCCGGTTGTTACCGTCAGGCTGAGCTCGGGCGTGTGCAGCCGCACCAGCAGCTCCTTGGCCAGCACTTGCCCGGTCTCCTGCACCGCCCCGGCCGCCGTCAGCTTGAGCGCGTCCTGCTCGCCCACGTGGGGCTGGTACTCGCCAAAGGCCACCGACATGGACACCGAGTCCTCTGGGGGACAGGGAAACTGAGGCACGGGGGGACGGGGGGGGCACCGACATGGACACCGAGTCCTCTGGGGGACAGGGAAACTGAGG